GCCCTCAGTCGAAAAGCCACATGAGAAACTCTGAGATACCAGCAACAGTAGGGGGAGCAGCCGGAAAAACCCTGAGCCTGGGCCCATGTGCAAAAGACCTTCCAATTTTGTTGATACACCTCCATGGAGGAAGGACGGATGGATTAAGCCAAATGAGAAACTGCAAAATGAGAAAAATCAGATCTCCTCACCAAGGACCAGACAAAAGACATTAAGTGTGGGATGTAGAACCAGCAACCGGGGTTGCCAAAGGAGGTCGGGTAATAAAGGAAGTGGTACTGGAGGGAATAATTGTAGGTGGAGTAAACGAGGAAACCATGGTTAAGCTGGCGAGTAGGAAGTGATCAGAAGGACACGGCACAGAGTGGCAAGTATGAGAGAAACTACCCCATGAAGTAATCATATAGGAGGATAAACATATAGGAATTTGTGTGCCCAATCCTGACTGAAGGCATCTATAGCCAAAGCCCAAAGATGAAGAATCTGGGACCAAAATAGGGGTAACTAGTGGATGAGGATGGTGGCAAAAGCATCGATGTGAGAAACCCCCCTGCAGACTGCAAAGCCACCAGAAAACAAGGGGATGAAGGGACCACTCCATTGGGTAAACCTTGTCGGGATGGGAAAGACGATCCGCCACCAGGTTGAAAGCACATGGGACATGACACGCAATTAAACGAATTGGTTCCACGTGGGCCCAATATAGAAGATATAACATTTGAAAACAGAGGGATCTTGACTAGGTGCCGTCTTGGTGATTGATATAAATTGTCAGAATGAATTATTATCAGACAATGTTTGGCAATGGTAAGAAAGTGATCCAAAGCCCAAAGAATGGCTAGAAGCTCTAGGACATTGATATGTAAAGATTTTTCATCTAGAGACCAATGACCCAAAGCCTCCTGGGGATCAACCCATGCACCCCAGCCCTGAAGGGATTGCATCTGTAAAAAGATACAAGTCCAGATAACGAAGAGGAAGTGGGACACCCTCATATGTGTGAATCTTGTCCAACCACCAAAAGAAATCATCTACAAGCGAAGGAGGAAGGGTGATGGGAGCATCAAAGGGATCCCAAGAAATGTTCCATTGATCATGCAAAGTCCGCTGAAGGGAGCGCATGTGTGCATGGCCTGAGGGGGATTAGTGGTGTCATAGAAGATCATATTCCCAAAAGCGACAGAACCTAACATACAGAAAGTGAGGGAGTAGACATTGCATGGCAAACTAACAATTCCACAGAACGGAATCTGAGAGGAGAAGGTTGGGCCCGATTGAGGTGAGTGTTGAAAAAGACACCCAAATCTACAAGGTATTGGGTAGGACTTAGGAAGAACTTCTCCAATTTGATGAACCAGCCTTACCGAGAAGAAGCTGATGAGAAGAACAGGCCGACTCCTGTTCGGAATGGGCCAGAAGTAGCCAGTCATCCATGTAAAAATGGAAATGCAGCCATAGGGCATTAAGATGAAGAGCAAAAGCTTGTACCATCCAACAGAAAATGCAGAAAGCCAAAGTGACACCTGAAGTGGTGACATTAACTTTGTAATTCCTGGTGATGTAGTTGACAGATTCATTTGAAGTAAATAAGAAATGCAACTGGAATAAGGGTAAGTGAATTGAAATAATGTACAAAAAAAATATGAGTATTTTAAATTAAATTAAACAGCCTCAAGAAAATATGATCTCAAACACAAAACCAGATGAAAAAAAGAAAGATGTCTGAGTGCAAGTGCTGCCAAACAAGAAGAGATAGTTCAGTAGAGGCACATAGAGGGAGACACCTGCATCACGTGAGTCTACTATGATCCTATTGGTGGATAGGTGACACATGATGATTTGCATGAGACACGTCGGAAACATTTGATAGATAAATTAAATTAAATGGATAGAAGGCTTGTGTAAGGTGTGAAAGTCAAGATATGCAAGAAGTAGACAAGTATTGGGAGAATGGATAAAGGTCCAGGCAACAACATGGACACCACCACATGGTAGATGATGTAACGTTACTCTTCGTCTTACTGTATTTTCAACCTGAACAGCACCTTGCGCAATACAAAATGACTGTCACAATCTCAAAAGGCAAGAACTTACTAAATATTGGTAACTGTGAGTGATATTTGTACTCACATCAGCAGAAAAAGGAATTCACATTAATCTGTGAATTCTTATTGAAAGGTTGAAAATACAAAGTAAAGTTGTTGAAGTAGCTACTTCAACAAGTCTCAGCAAAAAAAAAAGAAACATCTAACTGCATTTGTGCCAAGAAAAAGAATGACATATTTCTCATCCAAATGTAGAGAGAGCACTTGCACAAGGAGGTGTCTCACACTCATACTGGTGGAAGGTTTTGCTGTGTGATACGTCATCATGCAGTAGCACAATTTCACGTGATTCACATTAATCTTATGCAGAAGTTTTTACAAGGCTGGTGGCATACAAGTCTCTTAGGTAGATTAGTGCAGTTTCAAGAGAAAAACAGCTTTCTACTTATAGAGGTGAGTGATTGTATCAGAATTTTCTGATATTAGTTGACTGAATTGTGCACTCTGGCAGATTATTTATTTATAATAGTACAGGATGCAACTCACCCATGCTCTGAAAAATAACACTGAGAAAATTATGAAGAGATACAAGCATTGTGTCTTGCCACTGTCGAGTAAAATAGACTTGAAAAGCTGGATTTTCTTCAGGCGACTTCAAGAATGGCAGAGCTTAAAGAAAGAAAAATATTTCAATACACAAATAGCATTACCTTTAAGCAATAAGCACATGGTCATATGAGAAAAATTAAAGGTTTCAATGTTACTTCTTTACTCTACTCAAAGTTAGTTTTTATGCCTACATGTGCAGGATAATTAGGAAGAAAATCCCAAATTTAAAATCATTATGCCTTAAAAAACCTATTTAACCCGGGAGAACAAAAGTTTACCAGCAGAACATTAACAACCATGAGATTTACTCAAGAAATTCTGGACATGGAGCAGCACATTTCAAAATCATATTATGCTGCATAATTAAGTTGCTTTTCTAGTATCTCTTTTATTTCAATTCTTTATCTCTTATTCAACAATAGGAGATTGCTAGTTGAATGTATGTCATTTTGGAGGACATTTCAAGGATCAATTAATACTTAGAAGAACAGATGTTGCTTGCAGTAGCTTCATTTAGGGATAGCTTTGGTATGCTGACTGGGAATTATGAAAAAAATATTGAACACATTCAGTTGTAGTTTCCGACATACTCTATACAATGTTTACATATTTCTAAACAAAACTTTAACAGTAGTTGTTTTCAAGATATAATCATTTTAAAAATTGTTTTCTGTACAATTACCAAACATACAATACAATAACACCTTCTAACAACTTCCACTACAATAGTTATTCATTGTCATTTGTTGCACACTGCTTTTTCTTTTTGCAATATCTTTGATTTTGTGTGCATCTTTTTCAAGTTTTAATATTTTTTAGGCATTTTTGCCTGTAAACTTTTATTTAAATTTTTACCTGCCATAAAGTTTACGTACAAACATAAATAAATTTTTGACTGTATTCTTTGTCATTTTTCATTTTTACAGGAAATGCTTCAATAAAAAGAAAGTTTTTCCTTCACATTAAATAAAACAAAAGGAACCACTCATAAGAACCTCAATCTTACTAGGTATATGGTGACTAGAAATTTAATAAAACAAGGAATTGTTTCTTGTCTGTTTCTTTGTAATTAAGCACAAAGCTACACAATGGGCTATCTGTTCTCTGCCCACCACGAGTATCGAAACCTGGATTCTGGCATTGTAAGTCTGCAGACATACCGCTGTGCCACTGGGGGGCAAAACAAGGAATACCTCCAACACTGAAATACTTTTTCATTGTTGTTGTTGATTTCCACAAAATTGTCACAATTAAATTATCTGTAAAACAAAACCCATATCCTTTTTTCAGAGTTCTTTGACAGAGCAACTGTTTTACTGGATGGGGTACACCAGTTGATGTTGTGTATTTTTACTATAATGAAGTTTCTGATAATGTTCTGTACAAAAAGTTCAATTAATAAATTAGATTTTTATGAATTAGATGGAAAAATTAAGAAGTAGAACAGTTGTTAAAGTGAAAAAAACAACAAATGATTGTAATTAATCAGCATTTTTTCAGTTTGGTAAAGGCAACTAATAAGAGCACTCAGGGATCTGGTTTAGAACCTTAATTATCATTTTTATTATTTGAATAAGTTCTTGGACAGTAAAGTTTGAAATAACACATGGCATTTAACAAGTAAGTAATCAAAATCTGTAAAATAATGACAGAGTTTAAAGAATTTCCAATTTTAATGAAAATGTTCTGTCAATATAATTGATCAACATAACATAGATATAAAAAGGGACCATTTAGTCCTTCAAAGCTATCCTTGAACATCCATCTCTCACAAAATAAAAATAAAATAAAAAATTTAAACCCACCCTTTATTTTCCAGGAATGTATGGATTCCCCCTCTTAAATTATCATAATGTGTCAGTCTACAATACCATGAATGGCAGCTCATTTCATAGGTTAATCATCCTGGTAGAAAAATAAAACTCTTCATTGGAGCCTAGCCTATCTTTACCAAATCTGAAGCTTGTATCTTCTCATCCTGTTGTCTTCAGGACACAGCACAAAGAAATCGAAGAAGTTTATCCTTTCGATCTCCAACATAATTTTGTAAACTTCAATAAAATCACCTCTTATCCTTCTCTCCTCAAAATAAAATAAGTCAAGTGATCTTAAACTATTCCTATAATATAACTCTTCTATCTTTGGAAACATCCTAGTAGCTCTCTTCTGAACCCTTTCCAATAAATCAATACCTTTTCTTAGATAAGGAGACCAATAATTCATATAAGACCTAATATGTGATTTGTATAGAGTCAATTATCACTTTTCACTTGTAACTCATGTCTATAAATACATTTTCAAATTATATTAGCTTCACTACAAGCAATAAAGCACTGTTTCAATAGCAAGAGGCACTTCTCTACTATCATGCCAAGATTCTTTTCTTCAGTCACACTAATTAAGTGGGTTCCCATCTGTATTAAACATGAGGCTCAAATTATAACTCAAATGTTATATCCTGTATTTTTTATAATTAAAGGTCTTTGCCAAGCATTTTCCCAACTTACCAAACAATGCAAGTTATTCTGTAGTACCCTCAACATCCTCAATACAGCTAGAAATACACAAGAGTTTGTCATCCACAAACTTTTCTAATCTAATAATTATGATCTTAACAATATTATTAAAGTAAATAACAAGAAGCAAAGGCCTAAGCACAGACCTCTGAGGCACACCATCAGTAACAAAGGTTCAATTTGATTGGATTAAGTTAACTTTTTTGCTGTCTCTAATCCAGCCACCCTACAATCCAATCAACTAGTCTTTCCCCAACCCCCAGCAATGAAATTTTCTTACCTAATCTTCTGTGCGACACCTAAATACTCAAAGTTAACACCCTTTCCATTACCCATATAACAAGAATCATTTAAAAAACTAATGGAATAGTAAGGCAATATTTCACTTTTGTAAGTACATGTTAATTTTTTTTATTATTTATTTCATTAAATGTGGTGGTATAGTGTAAATTTAAGACGGTTCATAAAATACAAATCAACAAATAACACAAAAAGTACTTTTTACCTGCATTTAAGTTAATCAAACAGAACAAAGAAGTTCAATTGTATTATACATAAAAATGAAACAAATAGTAAGCTTGATAATAAGGGTTCAGTCAAACTTAATAAAAGTGTCTATGATGCCACAACAAGTACAATAAATAAAAGTATTATACTTCATTTGTTTCAATTAAATAACTTATTCCCTTTCATGATGAAAAAAATGTGAAAATTACAAAACAGTTCTGGCACACCCTACATTAATCAATTTTTCACAGGCCTATATTGTGAAGGCATAGAAAATCATAACTCGTTATTCATATCCTCTGCTGATAACACAGGCCTGCGATGGTTTTATTGTCTTGAAATTTTTATATGTTCTACAGTAATTCCTGTACACTGAATCCAAAAATGATATCCATTTTTCTCCATCATGTACAGATTTTTCACAAAATGACATATGCAATACATAAAAGAAAAACCACAACACGTAGTTTTGAGACTAAAAGACATAGATTTCACACAAAAAATCAGGATGAATGAGGATGCATATTTGTTTCACATCAGTGTTCTCCCCATCAGTGTTTGTATTTTTATCAACAAAGGTAATAATAAAAATGTTTATTATGGTAAACAAAATAATAATTTGGTCTAAGTAAGAGTGTTTTTTCTTCTCAATTTGTAAAAAATCCTTACGTGATAGAAAAAAATTATTATTATTTTTGAAATCTGCATAGCTGAATTATGGCAAATTCTTTATTAAAACCAAAACAAGTTTTATGAAGTTTAAATTTGCAGGCATTTGTAATTTGACCATTAACCAAATGTGTATTGGGTCAGTCCATAAAACCCACATACCCAATATTGGATGAATGTTGACTATAATTAACAAATTTAATAGGCTCACCTACATGAAACTTGGAAAGCTTTTACTAAATGTACAAACTTGTTGTACATAAAAAATCAGATGTGTTACAAAACTATTTGTACTAAAGGTATGTCTTTGAATTGATAACATCAGTCTGACTCTGGCAAGCTGCAGTGCAAGGTGATGTTCATGTGTAGAATAAAAATACATCTGTTCATCATACAGTTTGCATATTATATTTGCATAATTTCTAGAATCTCCAAAGTGTATATCTACAGTGTTTTTTTCCAGTATCCCAGTAGTCTGGTATTTACTATCCTTTACTATGAACTCTTGCTAACACAGCAATGCAGGGTAAAATGAATAGTTGGTAACTCTGACATCAAATACATAACACCATCTTTAATGATACTCTGTAAAATGTCATGAAATTTGCACTTTGACTACCACCTTTTCACACAGGGTTGATAAGATAACATTATGAAATCATTAAACATTTTATGTGCTGAGGAAGTAAACTGTTAAGCATCTGTACAAATATTCTTAATATTTTCCTACAGCTTGCCACACTAATTGTTTTAGTGATGAGTGAAAAACTACATCCAAGTTCTATTCACAGTAGTATTTAAGTTGTTGTGCAGTGCTTAAAAAAACTGTTGAACAAGTGTATCTTTTGATGGACAACTTCCATAGTTAACCAGCAATTTATAAAACTTCATACTGAACAAAACAAAAACCTAATTTTTCTAAATTCACTGATTATAATATTATAAAGATTCATTTTGTTCAGTAGAATATTCCTGGACAATTTAATTGGATGTAACACAGAGCAGAAAATAGATTTCAATAATCAAAAATATGAAGTGACACATTTGGGATATGGAAACTTAAAGCCTTTAAGCTTTTATGAAATTTATACCTAAATCCTCCTATTTTTTAACAATTCCTTTACTCTTCTCATATAAAAAGTCTTCCCAAATTTCCATACAGAAAATGCAATACTTTATCTTTTTCAACACTGAAAGTAATTTTCTAAATTTTGGCCCAGTCACTAAGAATGTCCAGATCTTCTCGAGTAAGAAAAACATTAACAATAATATCAGACCTTTCCAAAATATTACTACCTTAACCAAATATAGAAATGCCAGGCTCAGAAGTTTTCCAAATCACAGACACATATGATAAAGAACAAAAGTCCCAAACAAGTAATTGTAAAGACCTCAATTCTCACATTCCTATCAGAAAAATGTCTATTTATTACTATTCTTTGCGTTCTACTACCAAGCCAATTTTCTACATTCTTTAACATTTTCATCCATTTCATAATTATCTAACTTAGTAATCAAATTCTTTACCAGCACCTTATTAACCCTATGCATAAATGTGGGTCAAAGTGTATATTTCCCAACCTTTTCACACAATTAATTTCAAATTTTAATCAAACAACTTTATGATGAATGTATGTCAATTAACTTGGCATAAAAGAAGTTCATGATTCAAATTTTAGTATTATATAAGGGTTAGTGTCTTATATCAAAAGGAAATATTTAAATAAATTCTCAATCTTCATAACTCTTTGTCACGTGATTTGTGTGATACTCTGATTTATTCTTTTTAGATTTTTTTCACCCTTTTTATGTCCAATCAACTAGAAACAAACTAAAGATACCAATAGGCCAGAAAATAAAATAAAAACCTCCTATCTTCTTCATTTGCTGAGGTATAAGCAAAGTTATCCAACCTACAAACCAGGTTCCTCCCATCTGTTCATAGCTTTAATGTAGTTTCTAATCTATATGGTAAATATTAAATATACAAATAAACAACAATAGGGTTGCTTTCATCCAAAAGATTAGATGCCCTAACACATCAAATGTTGGTTATGTAAGTACCCCTTACTAAACTATATTAAAAACTGTCTGCTCAATTCAATCTTTCCAAATACTTTTCAAGCCTGGTAGTTATGTCACCTGAATTGCAATCTTCAGCTCAAAAGTTTGAATCCCATTACCAAAAATGCTCACTCTTTCAGCCATGGGGACATTATAATACAACAGTCAATCACACTTTTTGTTGGTAAAAGAGCAGTTCAAGAGTTGACAGTGGGTGGTGTTGACTAGTCGTCTTCCCTCTAATCTATCTGTTCTAAACTTGGGAAGGCTAGAGCAGAAAACACTCAAGTAGCTTTTTGCAAAGTTCGTCAAACAAACAAACCAACATAATACTTTTTCTAAATGATTTCTCATTCAAAATATTTTTAACAACAAAAGTTCAATTATTAGGTTTTAATTTCCCAAGTCTTTCCATGACACTTCTTTTTTACTTAACCTAGGAATCACTCTGGTAATCTTTCAATCATCTTAAGTCATTCCAGTGTCACAAAAGTTGGATAACTACTGGAATCTAAAATGTCACATTTGTTTGATTTTGACCCTTTAGCTAATTGTTTTGATGAGCAACGGGGCAAATTATATGGACCAAGGGTTCTTTTGTAATATAGCTCTTCCTTATGTTTCTTATGCAAAATGTGTGACTTAACATTAACATAAAATCTTACAGCTGTAAAACTAAAGAAAACTTAATAGTTTTTCACCAAAGCACTAAATTCATATTCATCTTAGTTTTCTATCTGCACTTAGTTTTAAATCTTTAACTTGGCAACTTAGATTCTTGCTAACTGAAAAAAAAAAAACACATTTGACCTTTACAGGAATGAGTTTATCTTTCATTTTGTGTTTCCAATACTTCATATAATTTAGCAGAACAGTATTACTTACATAAGAAAAAGATTTCAGTAAAAGGTAAAGATATGTTTCTGAAAATATCTTAATTGAAGAAAAGTCCAGAAAGTCCTTTTTTATTTAAATCACACCACATTATTACAAGTATCACAAATTAAATACCACCACATTACAATACAGGTATTAAACATATCTGTTCATTTTTTTCAATATTATCTTTCCCTCATACAGGGTATAATATTCATTGTATGTATTATTCTAACAAATAATAATTATTTACCAAACCAGTCTTTCCACTCTGATTGGCCTTGCAGTTCATGACTCATTCGCTCAAAGAATTCAAGCAATTTATCCTGCCGGCTGCTAGTCACACAAGCCACCACATACATCCGTAATAATGCTGTTTCTAGTTTTTTGGCTGCATTCAGAAAGGAATGCTCTAACCTTGAAAATATCCTCTGGTCCAAATGAGTCCATGCTTCTCGAAGAGCTGAAAGGTCTAAATTGCTGATGCAGGAACTCAAGTGGTCTACAATACGATCCGGCTACATATAACTCAAAATAAATACTCATGTCATCTCACATAACTCAACAGAATAGAAATTAAGAAGCAACTTAATTATAATATCTGAGTAGAACTTTGTAAAAAAGGCTTAAACACATGCTTGTGCATCTTTAGATAATATTACTGCCAGAAATCTACAGAGCAATCATTAAAATTAGTAAAAACTGTCACATAAATTTACTTTTCTAGAACACATGGAAAAGGATTACATCTCTCAATTGCAGTTTTTCTTTTCTTTTTTCTGTAAATGACCCATTCTTAACTATTATTTGTACTGATACTAGTCCTACTGCTTTACTGGAAGCTTGGGATAAAAGCTTATTCAGTATGTAATACAAATAGTAATAAAATTAATTTGTAGAATAGTTGATTAATTTTTGTCTCTCAATTGCAGCTTATATTTTATATTTCTATAAATGACCCATTCTTAACTATTATTTGTATTAGTACTACTGCTTTACTGGAAGTTTGGGATAAATACTTACTCAGTTATTGTAATTTGTACCTAGTATTAATACACAATTAGTTATTAATTTATTACAAACAAAACCCAAAAACCTGAGCACTTTTGAAAGGTTTACATTTCTATATTACTGTTACTAGTGTTTGTACGATAATATTTCTATTACTTACTAAGTCTTATCAAAGGTAGTAGGATTATAACCTAACAAACAATAAAACTATGAAGAGACCTATATCTCTGCTCTACCATTGACCATGCTATTTTTGTCAGTTCACTGTATTACTATTAATATCATATTCTAAGAGTTAGAGCTTATGTGAGAAATTAAAGAAGAATGTTTAACAATGTCAACCACACTATATCTGCTATTACAACTTACACGTTAGTACTACTAGTAGTAGTCCTATTAGTATTAGTAATTACTAAAAGTAATACTACCAGTACTACTACTACTAATTTAGTAATTATTACTAATCTTACAACTTACAAGTACTAGTGAAGTAGTGCGAAGCTCATTTTTCTGCCCTACCGTCTATTATGGGATCATGTTATTTATTTATATTACTATATATTCCCTTTTTAACTAACTTTTTCTCTCCACAATTTAATTTTTTAAAAAGACAGTGGATACTGTATTAGCATTAGCAGAAGTAGTACCAATGTACCTCTTGTCTTGGTACTATATAATATTACATTTATAGTATTAAACATAACGAATTTTGTCTCCACTGCTTAATCTTTTTATTTTTAATAACATGTGCACCAACTTACCCTAAATCCCTTATCTTTGTCAGACTTAATATCTGCATCAAAAGCTTTTAATGTCCCCATAAATCCACGAAACAATAAATAATCGCGAACTAGCTCATCAGCAAATGAGATAGCTGCCATTTTGGCTTCCGAAGTGTTTAGAGGGGGAGATGCCACTTTCAATCCTAGAAGATCTTGTAAATATATACTTTTCAAAGCCACTTCTTAACAACGATGTTCAACTAAAAAATTATTGTTAAAAATATAATAGACGTTTTGCATATAATTTTTTTTCAGGCTCTAATGTAGCGCGTTCATTTTATTTTACATTCATTTTACATTATGAGATGTGGATACATGAATTTCGATTTTTCTTTGTTGGTAAGAAAGAACTTTATTTTAAAAAAATGTAGAAGGACAGGCTGTTATGCAAAATACTGTGCAACCTCTTGAAAGTACAGCTTCTAATCTTGAATGGGATTTATCTTAAAGCCTTTAAGAACTTAGCTGGGAAAATGAAATGGTGATAGGACTTTAAGTGATCGCTTTCAAAAGTCGCATGAGATTGAAACAATTGCTGATGATTGGAAGGTTGCAAATATTATTTTGATTTTCACAAATAGCTATCCCTAGTTGTGAACTAAATAACTAGAGAGAAAGAAGCTAGTGACAACAACTACCGCCAATAATTATCTTAAATTTCGTATGGAGTCTGCAACAAAGCATGTATATGATACTGCAGACATGTCGCAGAAGGTTTTGTGGTCAGACAAGACAAAAATTGAGGTTTTTGGTCTAAATTCAAAGAATTACATTAGGCGCAAGCCCATCACAGCACATCACCCAGTCAACACCATCTCAACTGTCAAGCATGGTTGTGGCAGCATTATGTTATGGGGATGCTTCTCGTCAGCAGGGAGTGGGAAGCTTGTCAGGATTGAGGGGAAGATGGATGGTGCAAAGTACAGGCGAATCATAGAGGAAAACCTGCTTCAGTCAGCCAAGAATCTAAATCTAGGTCGAAAATTCACATTTCAGCAGGACAATGACCCAAAGAATAAGGCTAAAACCACACTGGAGAGGTTTCAAAAGAATAAAATGAATATCTTGGAGATCGGCTATTTGTGTTTTGCCCACCTGGGATATCGAAACCCGATTTTTAACGTTATAAATCCACTGATTTACCTTTGAGCCACGGGGGGGGGGGGTAACTTCTGACATCGTCTGTTGTATGTCACTGATGATTTTTCATAACCAAAGTTAACCACACATTTGATCGGTCAATTATACAATGTCTAGTAATTTAACCAATTTGTGTTTTGTGTAGTTTGAAGTCCTTCTTTATGACCAACTAACTTGTTGTTGGTCGTACTTTTAAAATTTTGTGAATTTCTTTTCAAAAGGCTGTAAAATACCCCCTGTTATGTAATACCTCTTGATAACCTTATTTAGTGCATAGCGATATTCATGAAAAGTTGTCCCTATGACTGCTTTGCAAGATTTAGATTTCCAACTTACATGGAGTACGACCAATATTGATCACATTCACCTCAGTTGCTGTTCGAGTTGTATTAAATTGCATTATTATTTGAGAATGTTGCCTCCCATGCGAGAGCCGTCATTTGTGATTATTATAGTTAATTTTATTCTCTTACGTTACAAATGTTTGTTCATCAGCACTATTCATTGACTTACCACCACTCTTCCTCTACGACTTTCCTTTCTTTTGAAATAGCAATGATATTTCATATAGATCTATACTGTTTGACTTTTCCAATCGACTCACATTCTTCTAAAGAATTCACGATGTTCCAGTAATACTGTCGTTTAAGAATTTAAACCTAAGGGTGATCAGAAATGACGTTAACTATCCTAAAGTTCTCCCAAGTAAATGAATGACCTCATATTCAATTCTTCACTTTCGTTTACTCTTCCAATTTTTCAGTTCTCATTCTTTAATTAAAACTCTAGTTTTTAAGTTTACTAATTATTTTACTTTACGTGTGGAATCATCTTTATTTAATCAGATATGAAAGTTCAACCTACTCTATTATTTTTATCTATTTATTTATATGTTAGAAAAGTTCAGCACAGGCCCTCGTCCCTCCAACTGTAGAGTCCCTTTGCCACACATTTGTCATTGCACAGTACAGGTTGCTTTATACACTTGCCCCTAGTTCTGAACCACTGACAAGGAGTCAACTGACAAGCAGCAATGTTAGACATACACGGCTGTTTCCATTTAAGTGTAGTGCGAGAGTAGTAATTTAGATAGTTGTATAGCGTGGGTTATATAATTTAGTTTATTTTTAAAAGCAATAGTTTATCGCAATTTTGTTTACACTTCATACATTGTGTAGTTCACTAGTTATGAATTGCGTTATATTACTAGAAACTTCTGAGTTTTTCTCGTTGTTGTAATTGAGTATTATGGCAACATAATATCAAGTAGTGCATGGAATGTTCTAGACCTCCAAATGTAGTTCGACATTGTCAGCATTAATTAGCTTATTCTTCTTAATAGTATATATATTAGTAGTATTTAGTACATAGATTGAATAATATGGGTGTTGGGCTAAGGTTTCTTCTACAGTAGGTGTCTGTGACTTGTTGGCGATAACTTCAAGAATAAATTAATAGTACACACTCCACTTGATTTCAAAATTATATATATATATATATATATATAAGCTAGTTAAAAGTATGTACAACAAATTATTTACACTATAGAGATCATGAGCATATCATAAACACTATATAGTTCTCTTCTTGTTGTCAAAAGTCCAGTAGACCAATTTAATTGCTTTAGAATTTCAATTGACAAACCAAACTATTTTCCTCTATTACTATCGCTAAACTATCTGAGTATAGTTCACTTACTTTATCATCGAATTACCACGGTTGTATTCAATATTTCTAAAATCGTCTGCTCCTTTTCTGTCCTTGTATTTCTGAGAATCATCTCTCTATTTGTCAAAGTCCAATGAGGCTAGTTCAATTACTTTAGAACTCTCTTTCACGAAATAAACTATTCTTCTTATCTCTTTTAACACTGTTAGTCTCACTCTAATATATCAACCGTTAGGCCTTCCACTCCTTCGACGATTAACTTTTCTTTGGCCGAATTTCTTCTCGTAGCTTTACTTTACTTCTCTTCTGCTCTGTATGTCTTCTTTTCTCGCTCATCTCACACTATTTGTATGTTTACTATTTAATGGTCTGCACGCTATATCCTCGGCATCAATAAATTTCACGCGACCTTCTATAATCTCTACATCAATGAGTTATAAACATAAGGTACGACTCTTACCAATTTATGTAACTAAACTTGTCATAACATTTATTTTAAAATAATTGCTTCATGGAAGGAATATTACTGGCAAATCCAAGAACAACCAGTCAAAGCCGAAACCAGGGGTGGCTGACCAGAAGCAGAATGCCATCAAAGATGACAAAAGGGAGAAGAGAGGTTATGCTTCTTATGAAATGGGTACATTGTGAATGACTGCAAGTCTGTCATCAACAAGCAACAGCAGAAATCTCAGCATAAAGCAGCTGGAGCTACCTAGAAAGATCTTGCTGGCAAGAAAGAAGAAAATAGTGACTGTCACCATGGATGCTGCTGCCAGAAGAAACAGAATGAATAAACTCATGAGAAAGAAGAAAGTGCTATCACCATGATCAAACAATGCACGATTGATGATCAGTTCAAGTTACCAAATGGGTCAACAGAGACAATGGTGCTTGGAGCATGTGACAAATTTCGAGAGGTGCCAATAAATCACAACATGCCAATTGGTGAAGGCTATGTTGGGGACAAAAAAGTGAAAGTCCTCAGAGACACTGTGTTTATCAGTGAAAACCAGTTTAGTATTCGATGATCAGATGATGACAAGGTACATCTGTATGTACTGATTGATGGAACAGTGAGAAAGTTTCACATAGCTGAAATAAAGGTGGATACTCCATACTACATGGGAGACTTTGAAGCCATGTGTATGAAGGCACCAATCTATGACTTGGTAATTGGAAATATACCAGGCAGTAAAAGTTTGGAGGAACCAGACAGAAAGGAGACTGATGAGGCATCTGCCGTCACCACAAGAGCTCAAGAAAAGAAAAGCAAGCAAGACATCAAGCCCCTGCAAGTCTTGAAAGGTGACCTTAATTAATAGTGTATTTGATGGTCACCCTTATATAGTAACTATGCTCCCAAAGTGTACAGTGCGTTTATTCAGCAGCAGGCATGAACCGTGAATCCTCGGATTCACATTACTAGCAAGCTATCCATTATGTCACACCCAATCCCGAGGCCAATACAGGAAAACTGCATGCCTATTCCTTTGAGTTTCATTGTTGCAGGATCTTAGAATGAATTATCAAAAATCATTCACAACAGAATTTTGAAAATTGGCATTTATTCAATGATACACAGTAGTAAAGTTGTAGAAAAGAGGCCAGTTTTCATGGGTTGTCAACTTATCAAAATTTTATAATCGGACTTCTGTTTTGTTTTTGTTGATGATGTTGTGTGTGAAACACAGGAACAAGTTTATTTACGCTTACTTACAAAATAATATCTGACCCCAAAAGAACACAAGAAACTGTAAGGGAGAATCTGAAATTAACAATATTTTACTGTACATTGCGATTCTCTCTTCAATTCATAAATTGTGTCTTCTGAAAAAATGGGAAGTGCATAGGGCATCTGACTACTGGTAAATATCAGAAGACAGTTTTTGTTTTATTTTTTTATTGGGAGGGTGTTTCTAGTGATGTACTGAGAGGTAAGTTGTAGTTTATAGAAATAAGTTATCTGGTCTTTCTTAAGCTGGATTTGTTGTAGATTTTTGTTGGTTGAGTTTGTTAGGAACAGCTCCTACTTTTTAGTGCTGAGACAATATTTTGGTCTTTTTGCTGAGTTCCTCTTTAGGTCTGTGATATTCTCAGGTAAAGCAAACGAGATGATCGAGAGGAAATGTATTGCAAATAAAAAAATGTAACGTGGGAAGCAATGAAAAGATTCAAACATTTGTGTCAAATAGGAAATTATATTTGACTAATCTCCTCTGCAGCAGCAGCAAGGACGTTGCAGACCGACCACTGAACTGCCTTGGTTGGGTGCAAGAGATGCCCAAAGGCCTTAGGAA